CTCCACGCTCCCCTCTATTCTCACCGGAATTCTACACTCCCCTCTATTCCCACCAGAACTCCACACTCCCCTCTATTCTCACCAGAACTCCACACTCCCCTCTATTCTCACCGGAACTCCACACTCCCCTCTATTCTCACCAGAACTCCACACTGCCCTCTATTCTCACCAGAACTCCACACTCCCCTCTATTCTCACCGGAATTCTACACTCCCCTCTATTCCCACCAGAACTCCACACTCCCCTCTATTCTCACCAGAACTCCACACTCCCCTCTATTCCCACCGGAACTCCACACTCCTCTCTATTCCCACCGGAACTCCACACTCCCCTCTATTCTCACCAGAACTCCACACTCCCCTCTATTCTCACCAGAACTCCACACTCCCCTCTATTCTCACCGGAACTCCACACTCCCCTTTATTCCCACCGGAACTCCACACTCCCCTCTATTCTCACCGGAACTCCACACTCCCCTCTATTCCCACCGGAACTCCACACTCCCCTCTATTCTCACCGGAACTCCACACTCCCCTCTATTCCCACCGGAACTCCACACTCCCCTCTATTCCCACCGGAACTCCACACTCCCCTCTATTCTCACCAGAACTCCACCTCCCCTCTATTCCCACCGGAACTCCACACTCCCCTCTATTCTCACCGGAACTCCACACTCCCCTCTATTCCCACCGGAACTCCACACTCCCCTCTATTCTCACCGGAACTCCACACTCCCCTCTATTCCCACCGGAACTCCACACTCCCCTCTATTCTCACCGGAACTCCACACTCCCCTCTATTCCCACCGGAACTCCACACTCCCCTCTATTCCCACCGGAACTCCACACTCCCCTCTATTCTCACCAGAACTCCACACTCCCCTCTATTCTCACCGGAACTCCACACTCCCCTCTATTCTCATCGGAACTCCACACTCCCCTCTATTCTCACCAGAACTCCACACTCCCCTCTATTCTCACCGGAACTCCACACTCCCCTCTATTCTCATCGGAACTCCACACTCCCCTCTATTCTCACCAGAACTCCACACTCCCCTCTATTCTCACCGGAACTCCACACTCCCCTCTATTCTCACCAGAACTCCACACTCCCCTCTATTCTCACCAGAACTCCACACTCCCCTATATTCTCATCGGAACTCCACACTCCCCTCTATTCTCACCAGAACTCCACACTCCCCTCTATTCTCACCGGAACTCCACACTCCCCTCTATTCTCACCGGAACTCCACACTCCCCTCTATTCTCACCGGAACTCCACACTCCCCTCTATTCTCACCAGAACTCCACACTCCCCTCTATTCTCACCGGAACTCCACACTCCCCTCTATTCTCACCAGGAAACTCACACTCCCCTCTATTCTCACCAGAACTCCACCTCCCCTCTATTCTCACCGGAACTCCACACTCCCCTCTATTCCTCACCGGAACTCCACACTCCCCTCTATTCTCACCAGAACTCCACACTCTCCCTCTATTCTCACCGGAACTCCACACTCCCCTCTATTCTCACCGGAACTCCACACTCCCCTCTATTCTCACCGAACTCCACATCCCCTTCTCTATTCTCACCAGGAACTCCACACTCCCCTCTATTCTCACCGGAAACTCCACACTCCCCTCTATTCTCACCGGAACTCCACCTCCCCTCTATTCTCACCAGGAACTCCACACTCCCCTCTATTCCTCACGGAACTCCACACTCCCCTCTATTCTCACCAGAAACTCCAACACTCCCCTCTATGCTCACCAGGAACTCTCACGACTCCCCTCTATCTCACCAGAACTCCACACTCCCCTCTATTCTCACCAGGAACTCCACACTCCCCTCTATTCTCATCGGAACTCCACCTCCCCTCTATTCTCACCAGGAACTCCACACTCCCCTCTATTCTCACCGGAACTCCACACTCCCCTCTATTCTCACCGAACTCCACACTCCCCTCTATTCTCACCAGGAACTCCACACTCCCCTCTATTCTCACCAGAAACTCCACACGCCCCTCTATTCTCACCCAGAACTCCACACTCCCCTCTATTCTCACCAGAACTCCACACTCCCCTCTATTCTCACCGAACTCCACACTCCCCTCTATTCTCACGGAACTCCACACTCCCCTCTATTCTCACCAGAACTCCACACTCCCTCTATTCTCACCAGGAACTCCACACTCCCCTCTATTCCCACCGGAACTCCACACTCCCCTCTATTCCTCACCAGAACTCCACACTCCCCTCTATTCTCACCGAAACTCCACACTCCCCCTCTATTCTCACCAGAACTCCACACTCCCCTCTATTCTCAACCAGGAACTCCACACTCCCTCTATTCTCACCGGAACTCCACACTCCCCTCTATTCCACCGGAACTCCCACACCTCCCCTCTATTCTCACCGGAACTCCACACTCCCCTCTATTCTCACCAGAACTCCACACTCCCCTCTATTCCCACCAGAACTCCACACTCCCCTCTATTCTCACCGAACTCCACACTCCCCTCTATTCTCACCAGAACTCCACACTCCCTCTATTCCTCACCAGAACTCCACACTCCCCTCTATTCTCACCAGGAACTCACACACTCCCCTCTATTCTCCACCAGAACTCCACACTCCCTCTATTCCCATCGGAACTCCACACTCCCCTCTATTCTCACCAAACTCCACACTCCCCTCTATTCTCACCAGAACTCCACACTCCCCTCTATTCTCACCGGAACTCCACACTCCCCTCTATTCTCACCAGAACTCCACACTCCCTCTATTCTCACCGGAACTCCACACTCCCCTCTATTCCCCGGAACTCCACACTCCCCTCTATTCTCACCGGAATCCACACTCCCCCTATTCCACCAGAACTCCACACTCCCCTCTCTCACCAACTCCACACTCCCCTCTATTCTCCACCGGAACTCCACACTCCCCTCTATTCTCACCGAACTCCACACTCCCTCTATTCTCACCAACTCCACACTCCCCTCTATTCTCACCGGAACTCCACACTCCCCTCTATTCCCACCAAACTCCACACTCCCCTCTATTCTCACCGAACTCCACACTCCCCTCTATTCCACCGAACTCCACACTCCCCTCTATTCTCACCGAACTCCACACTCCCCTCTATTCCACCGAACTCCACACTCCCCTCTATTCTCACCAGAACTCCACACTCCCTCTATTCTCACCGGAACTCCACACTCCCCTCTATTCCCACCGGAACTCCACACTCCCCTCTATTCTCACCGGAACTCCACAATCCCCCTCTATTCCTCACCGGAACTCCACACTCCCCTCTATTCCACCAGAACTCCACACTCCCCTCTATTCTCACCGGAACTCCACACTCCCCTCTATTCCCACCGGAACTCCACACTCCCCTCTATTCTCAACGGAACTCCACACTCCCCTCTATTCCCACCGGAACTCCACACTCCCCTCTATTCCTCACCAGAACTCCACACTCCCCTCTATTCTCACCGGAACTCCACACTCCCCTCTATTCCCACCGGAACTCCACACTCCCCTCTATTCCCACCAGAACTCCACACTCCCCTCTATTCTCACCGGAACTCCACACTCCCCTCTATTCTCACCAGAACTCCCACTCCCCTCTATTCTCACCGTAACTCCACACTCCCCTCTATTCTCACCGGAACTCCACACTCCCCTCTATTCCCACCGGAACTCCACACTCCCCTCTATTCCACCGAACTCCACACTCCCCTCTATTCCCACCGGAACCTCCAGCACTCCCCTCTATTCCCACCGGAACTCCACACTCCCCTCTATTCTCACCGGAACTCCACACTCCCCTCTATTCCCACCGGAACTCCACACTCCACCTCTATTCTCACCAGAACTCCACACTCCCCTCTATTCTCACCGGAACTCCACACTCCCCTCTATTCTCACCGGAAATCCACTACTCCCTCTTATCACCAGAACTCTACACTCCCCTCTATTCCACCAGAACTCCACACTCCCCTCTATTCTCACCGGAACTCCACACTCCCCTCTATTCTCACCGGAACTCCACACTCCCCTCTATTCTCACCGGAACTCCACACTCCCCTCTATTCCCACCGGAACTCCCCACTCCCTCTATTCTCACCAGGAACTCCACACTCCCCTCTATTCCCACCGAACTCCACACTCCCTCTATTCCCACGGAACTCCACACTCCCCTCTATTCTCCCAGAAATCCACCAGCTCCCCTCTATTCTCACCGGAACTTCGCACATCCCCTCTATTCTCATCGGAACTCCACACTCCCCTTATTCTCACAGAACTCCACACTCCCCTCTATTCTCATCGGAACTCCACACTCCCCTCTATTCTCACCAGAACTCCACACTCCCCTCTATTCCAACCGGAACTCCTCACTCCCCTCTATTCTCACCGAAACTCCACACTCCCCTCTATTCCCACCAGAACTCCACACTCCCCTCTATTCCCACCGGAACTCCACACTCCCCTCTATTTCCACCAGAACTCCACACTCCCCTCTATTCCCACCGGAACTCCACACTTCCCTCTATTCCCACCGGAACTCCACACTCCCCTCTATACTCACCGGAACTCCACACTCCCCTCTATTCTCACCGGAACTCCACACTCCCCTCTATTCTCACCGGAATTCCACACTCCCCTCTATTCTCACCAGAACTCCACACTCCCCTCTATTCTCACCAGAACTCCACGCTTTCCTCTATTCTCACCGGAACTCCACGCTCCCCTCTATTCTCACCAGAACTCCACACTCCCCTCTATTCTCACCAGACATGGCGCGCAGTCCTCACCATAGCGCGAGAGGAGGAATCGCGAGCGCGCGAGGCAAAACTTAAATAGAAAATATTTTGTTGGAATTAAATATGAGTAGTCTGTTGAAGCATCTTGTCTTGCAAAAAATTCGAGTGCGTTTTAAATAGTGTTCATCAGTAACACTTTTGAAAACCGACAATCATCATATCTTGCCCTGACCGAACAATGTCTCCCAAATGTTGGTTGTTCACTTGTTTAGAATTATAATTTATATCGTGAGCATTGTCGTATATTGCATAAGTAACGTACATTAAAGAAGTGATCTTCGTGATGATGTATTAACTAGATGCATGTAAGTATGAACGTTGCGGGAGTAATCGAGCCCAAAGGCAGGCGTGATAAACACAGTGAGTATGGTGGCAACTCCCTCACTAGAGCTGAGTGCTGGATGATCTCAGCGACGTCCGCATTCAGTACGCCCCTTCTATAATAACCTCGGGCCTGGAGGACGCTCGGTTCGAATTCGTGAGAGCGCTGATTTCGGTTTCCAAGAGGCGAGGCGATAAAAGCGACGTCTTGAGATGGCGGAAACTGCTCCTGCTCAACCACCAGCTGCGGCTACTTCAGCGCCTAAAAGCCCCAAGAAGAAGCGCGCCGCTCCAAAGGCCAAGAAGGTCGGCCCCAGCGTGTCCGAGCTCATCCTCAAGGCTCTGGCCAGCAGCAAGGAGAGGAACGGCGTGTCTCTTCCTGCGCTCAAAAAGTCGCTTGCTGCCGGAGGATACGACGTGGAGAAGAACAATGCCCGCGTGAAGTTGGCCATCAAGAAGCTCGTGGCCAAAGACGCCGTGGCGCAAGTGAAGGGCAGCGGCGCGTCTGGCTCTTTCAAACTCAACAAGGAAAAGGCTGCCGCAAAGGCGAAGCCCAAGTCGTCAACGGCAAAGCCCGCAGCTAAAAAGCCCGCGGCAGCCAAGAAGGTGAAGAAGCCCGCGGCAGCCAAGAAGACCGCGCCCAAGAAGTCTCCCAAGAAAGCAAAGAAGCCCGCGGCTGCCAAGGCGGCCAAGAGCCCCAAAAAGGTGAAGTCGGCTGTTAAGCCCAAGAAGGCGGCGAAGAGCCCAGCCAAGCCCAAGGCTGCGAAGCCCAAGGTCGCTAAGCCCAAGACCGTCAAGGCCAAGGCCGCCAAACCCAAGGTGGCCAAGCCCAAGAAGGCCGCGGCCAAGCCCAAGAAGACTGCGCCAAAGAAGTGAATCCGATGGGACGACCGACGCTCGATTCACTCCACCTCAACGGCTCTTTTCAGAGCCACCCACTTCGTTAAAAAAGTGAACCAGATGCTGCTGCGCTTCAATTAGTTCAAATTAACTGTGTAACATTTCACCCACTCGATGTGTTTTAAGCATTGATGTGATGGGAGTGATCGAGCCCGAAAGCAGGGATCACAAACAGGCGAGGCGGGTGGCAGCTCCCTCACTCGAACTGAGTGCAGAGTAATAATCTCAGCGACGTCAGCATTCTCGCTGGCGATTCTAATCTAAATCCAGATTCAAAATCGATGCATTCTTGACGAACCTCCAATTTTGATTATGTGTTGCACCTCTTCATTTCGTCATCATGTTACTGGTGCCAAATATGGAATTTCGTCTAAAAATGTATTGATTCCAGACAGCTTTACTCAATTTGCCTTCATTCGCGCGTTCTGACCTTTTCAATTTGTTTTTGTTTTGTAAACATTGCGGTGCACCATCTAAACGTCTCTATTAAATTAATTACTATACGTAAATATCGCATTGTTTGCAATGTCTTTCTTACTTTGGGACAACTAGTTGGTGACGTTCACTCAACTATTGTGTTGGAAGCCGTTAAGCTTCACACGATTATAAAGTTAGTTCATCTTGTTCACTTGAAAACAAGACCTTACACCGATTATTCACTGCACGTGCAATCTTGCAACAGATCGCGTTCCTCTCGCGTTCGCTGCGGGTGTGCCAATATCATTCCAGAGATCTTCGAAGAAGGGCCATTGCCCAAAACGTCGCATATTATACATGTCAAGGAAGTGTTATTGACGACGGTGGAGGGTTTTCTTCGTCGCAGAGGTTAAAGGTGGAAGGTTTAAGGCGGAGCCATCGCGGAGGGCAGGGGTGGTCGGTGACGTCGCCACGCTTCGGGTATAAAGGCGGCTGCTGCTGCAAGCTGAGCGCGCAGTCTCTCGCGAGGAGCTTTGTCACAAGTAGTCGCAATGTCTGGACGCGGTAAAGGCGGTAAGGGGCTCGGCAAGGGAGGCGCAAAACGCCATCGCAAGGTGCTGCGCGACAACATCCAGGGCATCACCAAGCCCGCCATCCGCCGCCTCGCTCGCCGCGGCGGTGTGAAGCGCATCTCGGGCCTCATCTACGAGGAGACCCGCGGCGTCCTGAAGGTCTTCCTTGAGAACGTCATCCGCGACGCCGTCACCTACACGGAGCACGCCAAGCGCAAGACCGTCACCGCCATGGACGTGGTCTACGCCCTCAAGCGCCAGGGCCGCACTCTCTACGGCTTCGGAGGCTGAGCGCCCATCTCTCGCACACTAAGCCAACCCAAAGGCTCTTTTCAGAGCCACCCACCTCTTCGAAACTGCTTGCGCCAGTGTTGCCAAACACGCTCTGAATGGAGCACATGTCCTGGGTTGTTGTGAGCGTGCTGGACGTTTGCTTGTTGAGTTGGCGAATCTTCATCTGCTTCCACATGAATGAAAGAAATCATGATATTCACGACACATTTAACAAGGCGTAATTCTTGAACGCCTTAATACAGAACCCATTTCTGGTATTTTTGCCTGAATTATTTCCAGCTGCAGCCGATTCCGATATTACGTAGAGCATTTGGCGCCACAATCTTACAGCACACTCGTCCTAATTGACGTAGCGTGCCGGAATGCTAATCTCCACCTGTACAGCACAACAGCGAAGTTATTTTTCTCCACCGAGCGCTTGTATTTTTCCAAATTGCGTTCATAAAACGCCCGTGCGCCGTATTAGACGAGTGGTGAAACAATCCCTCGTAAGAAACAAAAAAACCTACGCTCAAAACACAATATACTGAATTGGGTTTTCTAGTCATCCTTTTTAAAGCAAAGGCAATGCCATGGCTGCAATTCACTAATACACATGTTTGGACATTACATTGTGTTATATTCTCAAGTCCTTTTTGCAGTAAAATCTATATTAAAGTGAACATCGCGTCCGCGTTTCTCATTGGAGGCTGATGGAGAGGGACGGTACTAAAAGAGCCACTCAGCAGCGCCGCGCACTACGATCCTCTGATTTGCATCTCGCCTCCTATAAAAGGAGCTCAACGCGCGAGCGACATCCACATTCGCTTCCCGTCTGTTCTGACCTGAAGCTGCTGCCTACGACGCGTCGACATGCCCGATCCTCCCGCATCAAAGAGCGCTGGGCCGGCCAAGGTTCCTGCTCCCAAGAAGGGCTCCAAGAAGGCTGTGACCAAGGCTACGCGCAAGGATGGCAAGAAGCGACGCCACCGCAGGAAGGAGAGCTACGCCATTTACATCTACAAGGTGATGAAGCAGGTGCACCCCGATACCGGCATCTCGTCCAAGGCAATGAGCATCATGAACTCGTTCGTCAACGACATCTTCGAGCGCATCGCTTCCGAGGCGTCCCGCCTGGCGCACTACAACAAGCGCTCCACCATCACTTCTCGGGAGATCCAGACCGCAGTGCGACTGCTGCTCCCCGGCGAGCTGGCCAAGCACGCCGTGTCGGAGGGCACCAAGGCCGTCACCAAGTACACAAGCTCCAAGTGAAGCCTCGACTCCACCATTAATTACAAAGGCTCTTTTCAGAGCCACCCACCTCTCCGAACCTGCTTGTACCAGTCCTAGCAGGAGTACTAAACGAAACTTCCAACAAAGCCCCGGTTCACGCGGGGACATTGTTCGCTCATTGAGTGGAATGGAGAGATGGAACGCATTTTAACCTGTTTCCACGGGAATAAAAGCGATAACAATATTCATGGCACATTCACCAGCAGGCATTTCTTGGACTTGTTTGTCCGTTGATTTCATCTGCAGCCCATTCAGATATTACATTGGATATTTGGTGCCAAAACCTTGCAATGCAATATATTTAATTCGTGGTTGTATTTTCGGGCAGGAACTAACATTTTGCACGTGTGCATCTATGTAAAAGTAAGCGCCTAGCATGGATGACTTGCAGTATAATTGATGATCATCATCTCAATGCCAAGAGAATAGATATCTATCCCTGTGATCACCTCTTTCCGACAATTTTACGTATTAACTTTGGAGCTTTCGTGACTGCAGGAATTATTCTTTGGTTCTTTCGGTAAAGTCACGTATATAAAAAAAACAAATTGGTGATATCTTTCTGCATATATGTCTGTCTATAATTTTTTCTGGTTAGATTTTATGTCGCTATTTCATTATACCTGATGATGATTGCTTGTGTTGCAATCGAAACGTCGTATGCTATTATTTAATTTATTATTTTTTCTTTATACGTGACTTTACCGAAAGAACCAAAGAATAATTTTTACGTATTACTGTTTCCAATGAAGTGCAGTTTCTTCACACTTTATTTAGATCACGCGGAGCACTGTAAAGTTGTTTTCGGAAAGGTGTTTGCTTGAGAAAAGAACATCCGTTAAGGACATCGACCGCGCTCAAACGGAACTACTGCATCGTGATGCGGCATTCTGCAATGCTCCAAAGTGAGAACATTTCGTTGATGAAGAAGAGTTGACGACTCGAGATCATTGCACGCTGCCAACCAATCAGCACGCGCCCCTTCTTCGCACGTCACGACTCCGCTGACCAGTGAGCGCGCGCTCTGGGCTACATAAGCCGCCTTCTCCTCCCCGCCTGTGAGAATCTTTGCCCTCACCAAGCCATGGCTCGCACCAAGCAGACGGCTCGCAAGTCCACGGGCGGCAAGGCCCCCCGCAAGCAACTCGCCACCAAGGCGGCCCGAAAGAGCGCTCCGGCCACGGGCGGCGTCAAGAAGCCTCACCGCTACAGGCCCGGCACCGTCGCTCTGCGCGAGATCCGCCGCTACCAGAAGTCCACCGAGCTGCTCATCCGCAAACTGCCCTTCCAGCGCCTCGTCAGGGAGATCGCGCAGGACTTCAAGACCGACCTGCGCTTCCAGAGCTCCGCTGTCATGGCTCTGCAGGAGGCCAGCGAAGCGTACCTTGTCGCGCTCTTCGAGGACACCAACCTGTGCGCCATCCACGCCAAGCGCGTCACCATCATGCCCAAGGACATTCAGCTCGCCCGCCGCATTCGTGGCGAGCGCGCTTGAACGCCCAGCTCGGCCCTCAAAGCACAACACAAAGGCTCTTTTCAGAGCCACCACTTACTCGTGAGAAAGCTTCCATGTGTGTCCTTCAAAGTTCGAGTGCCGGAAACCTTCGGTTGCTGGTCACGGCTCTCACGAGTCGTCAGGCGTAAGCGACAATCAAGTTCATTTCTATACCCCGCCGCTCATTCTTCAACATCACACGTTGGTGTTGTATATAAGCGTTGTGAAACCATGTCTACATAATGTACAACAAAAGGGTTATTTTGGTGAAATGTATTTTACCTCAGAGTCGCGTGGTGGGTGTGGAGGCCTAGCACCGTGCAGAGCCTCCCGCCTCGCCTGATTTTGCCACCCGGCTGACGCTGGGTACGGGTGCCGTTTCCCCCCCCCCCCCCCCCCGCGCTACAATAATACTGTGTAATCGCTATAATTTAATAATCTACCGACCCTATAATAGTAATAGCACACATTGTGGTGGGGGGGGGAGTAAAGAGGACGTGAAACTTAGATGAATTTACCTCAGAGTCGCGTGTTAATGCGTGCGCCTATTTTTAACGGGAATTAAAGATGGCGTCCACCCCGCAACTGCTAGCCCTTCGCCAGCCGTTGCCAGGGGCAACCGGCGTCCAATGAAAGCGGCGAAGTACGTCGCTAGGCGTTGGCAGGGGCAACCGGCGTCCAATGAAAGTGCGTATGGTCCGACATCCACACACAGACAGACAGACATTCACGATTTTATATATATAGATTAAACCCAAAGATATTGGTTCATGTTGTTTCAAGCCCGAGCTGATAAGAAGTTCACATTTTGCAAACTGAGACTGAATTATTCACGCACATATATTTTTAGGCATTGCCCGAACAGGCGGTTAAAGGAATATATATATACACCGTATAGGCACGTGGGCGATCAATCACGAGCTCAAGGCTATCACAATGATTTCTTATAACCAATGCGGTCCCTCAAAATGATGATTATAATCAATAATACATTGATATTTGCGGAATCCGCTTATAAGTTTGACTTGCCAGCACGTGCCCATAAATTAACTCTATCATGTTTAAAACTTGAACCTATTAAGTACGTGTATCGCATTGTTTAA